CTAGCATTTGTAGTTAATAAGTTATAAGCGTTTAAAGCTAAAAATAAGTTGTTGCGTTTCTTTTGTCAACCACTGTATATGAAAATCCAATTTTTGCAGAAGAATATTTACAATATAAAAAAGATGAAACAAACCATCAAATGATAACCAATAAAGAAATTATAGAAATGATGAAAGAACCTGAAGAATCAAATATCAAAGAGCCAGAAATTCCGATTATCAGTAATTATAAAGTATTAATAGCACTCAATCAAGTAATCGCATATATGAAACAAAAATCTGATAAAATGGATTTTTCAAAAGATCAAATTCGAGTCTTAAAAAAAATGCGTAAAGTAGTAGAATGAGAAGAGTTTCATTCTAAACAGCAAATTACTTTAGAATCGTGTTTTACTAATAAAGAATAGTAGGTTTTTCAGTAGTTTATTTATAATGAAAAAGTGAAAAACTTGTAATAAAGTTGTGCCGAGTTTATATTGTATCCAATTAAAAATCGATTACTAATTGATTTTCTGAATATATATAAATATAACATTTTTTATTATTATCAATATACTGAATTTGGATAAGATATTCGATATTGCTATATAACGAATAAATATTTAAAATTCAGTAAATCATTATCGAATTTTTTTATTATAATGAATCATAACCTCTAGAAATCAAAATTTGTTATAGAGAACTTGGACTGTTTAGGAATTATCTTTTTGGATTTCTAAATTTCAAGAGTGTATTTTTTAAAAAAGATTACCATTTGGTTTGTTTGAATTCTAAACAATTATAATTAATAATTAATTATATTTTTTTTAAATATTATACTGGATTCTATAAAACCAAAAAAAAAATTATATATTATTGTCTTTTATTGCCTTTTATATTAGTTTTAATTATTTAAACAATCAATAATTAATGAGCATTTGTATTTGTTTGATAGATATATTCATTTTTGAAATTGACGTAATAATAATTAATTATATATATAATTCATTTTCTTTTTTCATTTTTTTTTTTAAAAAAAAATTTCTCATTTTTTTTATATACAAATCGTATTTTTTTCAACCATCTATTTTCCTTTTATTCAAACTTTCACAATGTCTTTC